ACTACCAGAAAGCACACATTGAGGGGGCTCCCGGGAAGATGTTAGTTCAGGGCAGCTGATGCTTAGAGGGAAAAAAATTATCTTGTTCTGCATGAGCTAGACAGCCAGGGATGGGAGGTAGGGGGAGGTGGGGAGGGAAGGGATTCGTTCAAAGTGGGATCCTGAGTGCCATACAGATTGGACATGATTCCCTAGCTTCATCAGGATAAGCCAAAGTAAAAATGCAGGACAAGCCAAAGAGGCTGCAGTTTTGTACCCCTGTTTTAGCAGTTAGCACCTCCAGGGAGGGGAGCAGGCAAGACTGACTGGGGTCGCCTCTTTAATCGCGCCACCTTCCCATAGATAGCCTTCAGCCACCAAGGCATTCAGCAGAAAGAGGGAAGTATTTCTGTATTCCATCATTCCAGCCCTCTTGCAAGCAGCAATGTGGTTCCGGACCTGAGGACCCACATATAGAAACCCAATAGAAGCGAGGAATGAGAAAACCAGTTTCACGTTGTAAGAGAGGCAGCAAATACGTGCGGCTTTCCCATAGAGCATGCACCTTTGCCTCTTTCTTATGAGCATAATAAGTGTGTGTCAGATTAATTACTCTCAAAAACTGATGGCAAACAAACAAAAAAAAAAACGCATTCTCATATTTGGTCTTAGCGCAAAAATCTATGCAACAAAAGCAGATTTAGCCAAGTAGCCGTCAGCCATGTGATTATTCATTTCTTTTAAATGTAACTCAATTGACTATGAAAGGCCCACTTTCAACATGAAAACATCTCCCTTCCAGGCATATTTAGCAACTGAATAGACAGCAACAGAACACCATTCCCACATCGGGGCAGCGGCAGAGATTAGCATTTCAGTCACTCTTCATTTTTTTCTTTCTTTGGGGACCTCAACTTCGGGGAGTACAGAGAATCCCAACAAAATGTGCCTCATCAGGTTTTACCAGGCCGATTATAAATTCCCAACATGTGTGTGCTTGTGTGAAATAAGCACATGATATTCAACAGATGACCATTCACCTCCTATAACTTCTCACATTTCCATACTTGCGTATGAACAGGTTTATAATGCGATTAAAAAAGAGATTATTCTCATGCAGATTTTTTTAAAGCTTCCTATAAAGCACGAGGCAGGGAAAAAAGCTGGATGACTGCAGTGTATAAACTCCTAAAGAAAAATATTTTGAAATAACAAATTCAAACAAAAGAAACCATCAATTTCCCCCTTCAACCTAATATTAAAAAAGAATTTTTCCTATAAAAGGTGAATTCCATATAAACATATATTGCATTATCAAGGCCTTAACTGATAAGTTTTTACAAAAAAATTTGCAGTTCAAACTTGCACATGCAACCAAAATCAGCACTTACCCACTTGTAAACACTTCTGGTGCCTGGAGAAACAGCAAAATCTGTTCCTGTTGTTTGATCTCGGCAGTTTTACACCACCATAATCACGGCAAGTTAGATGAAAACTTTTAAGCAGAACAAGAAAGAAAAATCCCTACCTTGGGTTTCTTTCACCCCTTCAGTTTTTGTCCACTGTAAATGGCTGCATCTTTAGCAGTCTGGGCAAGAGCATCTAAGCTGACAGACACAAAAATGGGCTTTCTTTGGCTGGCTGGTGTTCCCAGCCTTTTATGTGGTGTCTCGGGCTGTGCTGCTTAATTCATTCCTGATTCTATTCAAAGGAAGTCCAGCCTGGCGAGGCTGACGTGATAGGAACAGCTGAAGACACTTTTGACTGCAGGGGCAAACTAACCATCACACACGCATCAACAAATGTGTAATTACGTTTCAAGGCCCAAAGATTTTTGATTTTAAAAGTCAACCAATAATTAAAAAAAAAAAAAAGTCCTAGGACAAAATCAAGCAATTTAGTTGTATGTTGGAAAATCGACCCAGAGAACAAGAACAGTACTCTTCGCTGGTGCTGAGCTACATTCACGGGAAATTATCCGGATCTCTACAGAGCTCTGCTGAATAGTTTCCATGACAACTTGGTAAACAGGATGGAAGTGACCACTGAGGGGTTTACTGGGATTGTTTTGTTTGGGGAGGAGAATGGTGGCTTTAAATGCTTCCTTTACTAAAATTTCCTCCAAAGGTAAAAAACGCAGCTTTTTACAGATCTTCTGTATCAGATGTTTTCAAAAGTCAAAGAAATGCTGGTAATGGGTGCTCCAGTTGCAGGAGAGGCAGTCAAAACAAAGGGGGACATTGAGTGGCAATCAGAAAACCAGGTGGCTCATGCTTATAATCCCAGCACTTTGGGAGGCCTAGGCAGATAGATCACCTGAGGTCAGGAGTTCAAGACCAGCCTGGCCAACACGGTAAAATTCCATCAATACTAAAAATACAAAAATTAGGCTGAGAGAGGTGGCTCACGCCTGTAATCCCAGCACTTTGGGAGGCCGAGGCAGGAGGATCACCTGAGGATGGGAGTTGGAGACCAGCCTGACCCACATGGAGAAACCCTATCTCTACTAAAAACGCGAAATTAGCCAGGCGTGGTGGCGCATGCCTATAATTCCAGCTACTAGGAGGCTGAGGCAGGAGAATTGCTCGAACCTGGGAGGCAGAGGTTGTGGTGAGCCGAGATTGCACCATTGCACTCCAGCCTGGGAAACAAGTGTGAAACTCCATCTCTGAATGAATGAATGAATGAATGAGTGAGTTAGCCAGGCATGGTGGCATGAGCCTGTAATCCCAGCTAATTGAGAGGCTGAGGCGGAAGAATTGCTTGAACCCCGGAGGCAGAGGTTGCAGTGAGCAAAGATCACACCACTGCACTCTAGCCTGGGTAACAGAATGAGACTTGGTCTCAAAAAAAAAAAAAAAGAAGGCCGGGCGCGGTGGCTCAAGCCTGTAATCCCAGCACTTTGGGAGGCCGAGGCGGGTGGATCACGAGGTCAAGAGATCGAGACCATCCTGGTCAACATGGTGAAACCCCGTCTCTACTAAAAATACAAAAAAAATTAGCTGGGCATGGTGGTACGTGCCTGTAATCCCAGCTACTCAGGAGGCTGAGGCAGGAGAATTGCCTGAACCCAGGAGGCGGAGGTTGCGGTGAGCCGAGATCGCGCCATTGCACTCCAGCCTGGGTAACATGAGTGAAACTCCGTCTCAAAAAAAAAAAAAAAAAAAGAAAGAAATTTCATTCTCAGTGCTTCACCCTTTGACCAGGTAATCAGAAACTTCCCATTCTTACAGAATATAACTTGGAAAAAAAATGTTCCTCACATTATAAACAGATTACAAACATCTGGCATTTTGACACATCACAGTACATATTTGTCAAAAGCCAAAGAACCATATAACACTGACAGTGGACTGCTAATGTAAACTCTGGATTTTAATAATAATGTAGCAATACTGGCTTATTATAACAAACACACCACATTCGTGCACGATGTTAATAAAAGAAAATTGTGGTGGGGGTGGCAATTTGGAAACTGCCTGTAGTACAGGCTCAAACTTTCTGTAATTTTTTTTTTTTCCCTAAGACGGAATTTCGCTCTTGTTGCCCAGGCTGGAGTGCAATGGCGCGATCTCGGCTCACCGCAACCTCTGCCTCCTGGGTTCAGGCGATTCTCCTGCCTCAGCCTCCCGAGTAGCTGGGACTACAGGCACGTGCCACCGTGCTCAGCTAATTTTTTTGTATCTTTAGTAGAGACGGGGTTTCACCATGTTGACCAGGATGGTCTCGATTTCTTGATCTCGTGATCCACCCGCCTCAGCCTCCCAAAGCGCTGGGATTACAGGCGTGAGCCACGGTGCCCGGCCAATTTTTTAATGTTCTTTAAAAGTCTATTAATGTTAAAGATAAAAATGTCCATCCACTAAATGTCAAAGACTAAAGAGAAATTGTTTTTAAGGCTCCTTATGCCAATCTACCAGAGGTTATTTAAAACTAAGCTCAAAAAAGCAAAGGTCTTAAAATAGATTTTTCTGTGATTCAGCTTATATTTGGGGTTAAACTTGTCAGGACAAAACAGGCGGTAAAAATATAAACATATAATGTAAGTATGCGTTATTTCACACAGTAATACACAGCTGTGTCATGTCCACGTGACCTCACTTAATACACATAACCGCCGTCCTTAGCAGGTACTGTCAATACATACATGTTAAACCCAAGGAAAGAATGCCTGGCCACACCAGGTGTAGTGATGAGACCCGAGGGGACCTAGGCACACACCTTTGATCTATTGCCTCAGTGGCTTCCTGAGCTCCTGCACCTGGGTGGCTATGCAATACCTGTCTATGCCAACGGTATTGCGGTGTATAATAATGTGCTAGACCCAGAGCACCCGACACCCTGTGTCTCAGCAGGCGTGGTGCAGGGTTTCTCAGGCCCTTGGGGCAGGGCATGAAGGACTGAGTCGCCCAGGCTCTGTAGGTAACTAGGCAGGCTTGTGGAGGGAGTGGTGGCTGGGGCTGGGGAACAGGTGAGGTAGTAGTCAATGCAGCTTTGGGAAAACAGTCACAAAGGATGAAACAGAAAATAAAAACCAACAACATGACAACAAGCACAGGCAGTAAAAAGGTAAGCAAAGCTCTATCAAAAAAAATCCTAATCGCCCACAAGAGCTTTGAGAGATGCTATTGCATATTGTGTTGATGGTTAAACAAAAATGCCGAGATAAAATTGTCCTTGGAGGCTGTTTACTGGAAGCAGGAAAATGTATTCTTACTAAGAGCTTGAAAATATTTGACACACTCCTGTGAATGAATATCTGACATTTTCACATTAATCTCAAATGGCCAGAAGAAGAGCAGCAAGGGGAAGATGCAGAAATGCAGATTTCATTCATTACAATTAAGACCTTTCCCAGGCCAGGCACAGTAGCTCACGCCTGTAATCCTAGCACTTTGGGAGGCTCAAGTGGGTGGATCACCTGAGGTCAGGAGTTTGAGACTAGCCTGGCCAACATGGTGAAACCCTGTCTCTACTAAAAATACAAAAATTAGCCAGGCGTGATGGTGAGTGCCTGTGACCCCAGTTACTCGGGAGGCTGAGGCAAGAGAATAAACCCGGGAGATGGAGGTTGCAGTAAACTGAGATCATACCATTGCACTCCAGCCTGAGCAAGAAGAGCGAAACTCCATCTCACACACAAATACAAAAAACAAACAAACAAACTTTCTCATGAACAGTAAGGGTTTAAAAAACAAAAATTAAAAAGCAGGGCAGGCGTGGTGACTTCCATCTGTAATCTCAGCACCACTATGGGAGGCCAAAGCAGGAGAATCGCTTGAGGTCAAAAGTTTGAGTCCAGCTTGGGAAACACCGTAAGACCCCATCTCTGTGAAAATTTAAAGATTAGGCAGGCCCAGTGGTGGCGCATGCTACTCCCAGCTGCTTGGGAGGCTGAGGCAGGAGATGCCTGAGCCCAGTTCAAGGCTTCAGTGTGCTATGATGGTGCCACTACGCTCCAGCCTGGGCAACAGAATAAGACTTGTCTCTTAAAAATAAAAAAATTTTAAAAAGTAAAGGAATAAAAGAATGGCTACTCCACACACAGAGCAGTCCCAAGGGCTGCTGGTTGCCTTTTTTTTTTTTTTTTGAGATGGAGTCTTGCTGTCACCAGGCTGGAGTGCAGTGGCGTGATCTCAGCTCACTGAAAACTCCACCTCCCGGGTTCAAGCGATTCTACTGCCTCAGCCTCCTGAGTAGCTAGGATTGCAGGCACACGCCACCATGCCCAGCCAATTTTTGGATTTTTTAGTACAGACGGGGTTTCACCACGTTGGCCAAGATGGTTTCAATCTCTTGACCTCGTGATCCACCTGTGTTGGCTTCTCAAAGCTGGGATTACAGGCGTGAGCCACCACACCCAGCCTTTGGTTGCCCATTTTCATGGTTATTTCTTGATGATATGCTAAACAAGGGGTGGATTATTCATGCCTCCCCTTTTTAGAGGACACAGGGTAACCTCCAGAGGTTACCATGGCATTTGTAAACTGTGCTGGAGGTGTAAGTGCTGCAGTGAGGACGACCCGAGGTCACTCTTTTTTTTTTTTTTTTTTTTTTTTTTGAGACGGAGTTTTGCTCCTGTTACCCAGACTGGAGTGCAATGGCGCAATCTTGGCTCACCACAACCTCCGCCTCCTGGGTTCAGGCAATTCTCCTGCCTCAGCCTCCTGAGTAGCTGGGATTACAGGCACGCGCCACCATGCCCAGCTAATTTTTTGTAGTTTTAGTAGAGACGGGGTTTCACCATGTTGACCAGGATGGTCTCGATTTCTTGATCTCGTGATCCACCCGCCTCGGCCTCCCAAAGTGCTGGGATTACAGGCGTGCGCCACCGCGCCCGGCCCCGAGGTCACTCTTGTGGCCATCTTGGTTTCGGTGGGCTTTGGCGGCTTCTTTACCGCAACCTGTTTTATCAGCAAGGTTTTCTGACCTGTATTTATGCCGACCTCCTGTCTCATCCTGTGACTCAGAATGCCTGCCTGGTCTGGGAATGCAGCCCAGTAGGTTTCAGCCTTATTTTACCCAGCCCCTATTCAAGATGGAGTTGCTCTGGTTCATACACCTCTGACACTGTCACCCAAGCAGCCACCATACTGCAATCCGTGCCTGGATGTGAATGAATTTCATCATCCTTTTCGTACTGTCTTTGCAAATTATGGACTGACGCGCCTCACACCAAGTCCAGCTGTCGGTTAAGTGGAGTGGAAATATCACACTACAGATTCACCAGTGAAGCAGAAAATTATGTTATCTGCAAAAACGCCTGGAAACAGAAAGGAAAGTTGCCTATTTGTGGTGGATGAATGACCTCCATTTCATACATTCTGCAAAATCGCCTGGAAACAGAAAGGAAAGTTGCCTATTTGTGGTGGATGAATGACCTCCATTTCATACATTCTGCAAAGCAAGGAGCAAGAGCTAAGTGATAAGAAATCATCTTGGGAGGCCGAGGCGGGTGGATCACGAGGTCAAGAGATCGAGACCATCCTGGTCAACATGGTGAAACCCTGTCTCTACTAAAAATACAAAAATTAGCTGGGCATGATGGTGCACGCCTGTAGTCCCAGCTACTCGGGAGGCTGAGGTAGGAGAATTGCTTGAACCCAGGAGGCGGAGGTTGTGGTGAGCCGAGATTGCGCCATTGCACTGCAGCCTGGGTAACGAGAGCGAAACTCCGTCTCGAAAAAAAAAAAAAAAAAGAAATCTCATGCACGCTATAATCAGGGATGCCTTTGCTTCCACAGTGACAAGAAACAAGGATGTATTTTACACTCGTGGAACTTAGATTCTGTGAAATATGGCAATAGATAATATGTGGACTGAGTGAATAACCTATAATTCCAGAAAGTTCCATCTCAATGTTAAAATCTAACGTTTACTTAACCTTTCAGTTTAAACCTTGTCATGTATCAGATCCTCACACCTGGACCTCCCGCCCTATCATGCGGATAACAAAGGCCTGTGGGGGAATACCCCATTTGGAGATAGGAATATTTGTATATGAATAACCAGCCTCCAGACCAAGAAGTATTTGTGAATGAGCCCCTGGTGCTGTGCTTACCTATCCCTAAAGGACCATGAACCTGAGGGGGGCTATGTCTAGAAGGGGTCAGCTGAGTAGGTAAACAGGGCAAAGGAACAATATGTCACCATAAAAAGATTGAAACACATAGGCTAGGCATGGTGGCTCATGCCTGTAATCACAGAATTTTGGGAGGCTGAGGTGGGTGGATCACGAGGTCAAGAGATCGAGATCATCCTGGCCAACATGGTGAAACCTGGTCTCTACTAAAAATATAAAAATCAGCTGTGCATGGTGGTGTGCGCCTGTAATCCCAGCTACTCAGGAGGCTGAGGCAGGAGAATCACTTGAACCCAGGAGGTGGAGGTTGCAGTGAGCCAAGATTGCGCCACTGCACTCCAGCCTGGTGACAGAATGAGACTTCATCTCAAAAAAAAAAAAAAAAAAAAAAAAAAAAAAAACCAGAGAAAGATATAGGAAGGAAAAAAAAAAAAGAAAAAGATATAGGAAAAATAACATGGGACCCAAAATTCAAGGCAAGAAATGTGTCACATTATCATCAGAACTTTTTATTTTTTTTTATTTATTTATTTTTTAAATTTAGAGATGGGGGTCTTGCTATGTTGCCCAGGCTGGAGTGCAGCGGCTATTCACAGGCGCCATCCCACTACTGATCAGCACGGGAGTTTTGACCTGATCCATTTCCGACCTGGGCTGGTTCACCCCTCCTTAGGCAACCTGGTGGTCCCCCGGCTCCCGGGAGGTCAGTATATTGATGCCGAACTTAGTTCGGACGCCTGATCGGCATAGCGCACTACAGCCCAGAACTCCTGGACTCAAGCGATCCTCCCACCTCAGCCTCCCAAGCAGCTGGGATTACAGGCATGCGCCACCACGCCCAGCCAGAACTTTTTAAATAAATATTTTGTCTTTGGTTGGTTGTTTTCTTTGAGACAGGTGTCACTCTGTTGCACAGGTTGGAGTGCACTGGTGCGATCTCGGCTCACTGCAGCCTTGACCTCCCAGGCTCAGATTATCCTCCCACCTCAGCCTCCCAAGTAGCTAGGTCTGTAGGTGTACACCGCCACCCCCAGCTACTTTTTTTTTTTTTTTTTTTTGAGACAGAATCTCACTCTCTCCCAGGTAGCTCACTGCAACCTACACCTCCTGGATTCAAACAACTCTTCATGCCTCAGCCTCCCAACTAGCTGGGGTTACAGGTGCACACTACCATGCCCAGCAATTTTTGTATTTTTGGTAGAGATGGGGTTTCACCATGTTGGTCAGGCTGATCTTGAACTCCTGGCCTCAGGTGATCCGCCCACTTCAGCCTCCCAAAGTGCTGGGATTACAGGTGCAGGCCACCGCGCCCAGTCTTTTTTGTAGAGACATGGTTTCGCCACGTAGCCCAGGCTGGGCTATAACTCCTGGGCTCAAGCTATCCGCCTGGCTCCCAAAGTGCTAGGATTACAGGTGTGAGCCACTAGGCCTGGTCAGGTCTGAAAGACAGAAAGGAAATGAAGATTGGAAGAAAGGACGAAAGAAAGAAAGAAAAGAAAAAGAGGGAGGGAGGGAGGGGAAAGGAGAATAGGGGGAAAGGAGAAAGGGAGGGAGGGAAGGAGGGGAAGGAGAAAGAGAGGGAGGGAGGAGAAAGGAGAAAGGGAAGGAGGGAGGGGAAAGTAGAAAGGAAGGGAAGGAGGGAGGAAAGGAGGAAGGAAGGAAAAAAGGAAGGAGGGAAGGAGAAATGCAGGCAGCACCTGGATTACATAAATATAAATCCCCAGGAGAAAATGTGCTAGATTCATTAAATTCATTCATCAAGTTATTACGCCCCTGGAAACAAAAGGCTGATGCTTCTATAATGTCAGCACAGAGCTCTACTGTATGTGTGAGGCCATAAGCTGTCTAGGATGCTGTCAACCTGAGGGGCTGAGTCTGACCTAGGAAGGAGCCCTGTGAAGACAGGACTACGGGTGGGTCACCAGGACTCATTTATGTGAAAGGAGCTAACATCCTCCCAAAGTCCTTGACAGAAGACCCCTGTGTGAGATGGTTTCAGCATCCTTGTCCTCATCCTTGTGTCTTGGGATAGAGACAGATGGGACTGCAAGACCAACAGCTCACAAGGCTCCCGTGGCCTGCCTGACTCCACATCTCCAGCTTCCTCCTCCCATCACTTGATATTCCATTTTCCAGTAGATATGGCTACAGGGCAACTCTAGCCTTCCCGGTTTCCCCCTCTGGGGCCTGGTCTTCAGTCTCTTGCAGCACAGACATCTTTCCCTTCTTCACTTAAGTAAACCTGACTCTATGCAATGTGTGGTGGCTCCCAGCACTTTGGGAGGCTGAGGCAGGCAATCACTTGAAGTCAGGAGTTCAAGACCAGCCTGGCCAACATGGTGAAACCCCATCTCTACCAAAAATACAAATATCAGCCGGGTGTGGTGGCACATGCCTGTAATCCCAGCTACTCAGGAGGCTGAGGCAGAGAATGGTTTGAACCTGTGAGGTGGAGGTTGTAGTGAGCTGAGATTGCGCCACTGCACTCCAGCTGGGAGACAGCAAGACTCTGTCTAGAAAGAAAACAGAAAAGAAAAGAAAGGAGAGAGAGAAGAGGGAGGGAGAGGAAAGAAAGGGAAGAGAAGGGAGGGGATGAGAGGAGAGGGAAGGGGAGGGAAGGGAAGGAAAAGAAGGGAAAGGACGGGAAGAAAGGTAGACTCTACTTAAAAGGCTGCTTGTGCTACAGGCCTTCTTGCACCAGATCCCAGTCCCAGAAACATTAGATTAGGCCCCTGCCTTTTTGGAGAAGGCTGGACCGAATCTTTGAGGGTACTGTTCTGTCCAGTTAAAGATTTAAAGACGATGCTGCTGGAACCACGAGGTTTCCCTCCTAGAACCTGCGTCCTGGACACAGCAAACGTAAAGACAGAATGGGGAGGAAAGCCAGCCAGGTGGGTTCCAAGGGACAGCACAGGCTGAATCTGCAGGAAACAGACCCAGGCAACTCCCACAACTGGTTCTCACACCCCAGAAGGTGTCCCGATGTGTATCTGTCAGTTCCCTGCTTTCATTCTGCCCGGAACCTCCTCCGGGCGTTTCTGAAGAATGTTAATGAGAGACTTTTCTGTCTGGAACTTACTTGCTAAAACACCAGGCAGGGACGCCCTTGGGGAGACTCTGATGAGGAAAAGCAGGTTTTCTATCTTACAGAAATCTGTGGTTGGCTGGAGCGCTTTTGGCTGCCACTGCTACCATCCAAGCAAATCACAATCCACGAAGCTAAAAGGTGTCATTACCAACTGAAACTCCCGTAATGGAGAGGTCTACCCTTTGTGAACTCTGAAAACTCAAAGCTCAGCAGAAGGTTGCATCCATGGCCAAGGCCCGCGGCAGCCCTGCCTCTCGCAGGAGGCAGGCTTTTCTAGCTGCTTCCTCACTGAGCACCAATGAGGCTAGCCAAGTGCCTTCCATACAACACTCAAGATCAGTAAAAGGCTTTTTACAGAAGAAGAAAAAAGCCCACATGTTGTGACACCTGAATGGACACATGCGTTCAACATTTCAGTTATACACTCCTTCTCTGGACCACTTTTTCAAAATAAAATGTAGAAAACCCAAATTAAAAAAAAAATTAGGCTGCGCGTAGTGACTCATGCCTGTAATCCCAGCACTTTGGGAAGCTGAGGCAGGCAGATCATGAGGTCAAGAGATCGAGACCATCCTGGCCAACATGGTAAAACCCCATCTCTACTTAAAATACGAAAATTAGCTGGGAGTGGTGGCACATGTCTGTAGTCCCAGCTACACGGGAGGCTGAGGCAGGAGAATCACTTGAACTCAGGAGGCGGAAGAAGCCGCAGTGAGCTGAGATCATTCCACTGCACTCCAGCCTGGGTGACAGAGCGAGATTCCATCTCGGAAAAAACAAAAAAATCACAAATAATCCAAACAAAAGCTCACAAAGAATTTCTAGATTCTTTAGGCCCAGATGCCCATGCTGGAGTTCAAACCCTTGGCAAGGAGGAGAGGCAGCCTGTCCTGAAAACCATGGCAGGTAAAGGGGGTGTGCTCTCACTAGCCCTGCAAATGTGGGAGTCTTCAATCTACTTCTGAAGGCACAAAAGCAGCTACAGGTGTTTCTGTTGTTCTAATCCTACAGGTCTCTAGGATACTGGACTTTAGAGCTATCATTCTGATTTCTTTATGATCATATAACCTACAAAAAAAAAATACTTCTGCCTGGGTGCGATGGCTCATCCCTATAATCCCCGCACTTTGAGAGGACGAGGTGGGCAGATCAACTGTGGTCGAGAGTTCGAGACTAGCCTTACCAACATGGAGAAACCCCATCTCTACTAAAAACATGAAATTAGCTGGGTGTGGTGGCACATGCCTGTAATCTCATCTACTTGGGAGGCTGAGGCAGGAGAATCACTTGAACCTGGGAGGCGAAGGTTGTAGTGAGCCAAGATCAGGCCATTGCACTCCAGCCTGGGCAACAAGAACGAAACTCTGTCTCAAAATAAAAAAAAAATTATATATTTGTTAAAACCTATGCTCCTTGCTCCTGACTAATGCACAAAATACCTAAATACACACATATTTGAATACCACCTCCCAAGTCCTTTGATGGACTGAGGCTGGAGAGCAAAACGAGACGAGGAAAAACTCTCATCCCCCCACACTGAAAATACACATTCCCCATCTCTAGGGAGGGAGAAGGCAAGATTTCTCCTGTGAAATATCTAAAAGAATCTATTTTTGGATTTAAAAAATATATAAGAACTCTAAATAAAGGTTGTTTGCATACATTTCACAGAACATAATAGGCAGTGACAGTCCAGTATTTCCAATGGAACTAAATGAATGCCAATCGAGACATAGCTGTATTTCCATAATCAAATTAGCATCTCCATTTACCACCACACCTACATTTTAGGCCTCAGACAAGTCAGCTCTTGTGCCTCTGCCTTCACTTGCTGAGTGCCTTTATTTATTTATTTATTTATTTAGAGACAGTCTCACTCTGTTGCCCAGGCTGGAGTGCAATGGCACGATCTTGGTTCATAACAGCCTCTGTTCATAACAGCCTCTGCTTCCTGAGTTCAAGCAATTCTTCTACCTCAGCCTCCCACGTAGCTGGGATTACACGCCATGTGCCAGCACACATGGCTTTTTTTTTTTTCTTTTAAATAGAGACAAGGTTTCACCATGTTGGCCAGGCTGGTCTTCAACTCCGCCCACCTCGGCTTCCCAAAGTGCGGGGATTACAGGTGTGAGCCACCACGCCCAGCCTTCTGAGTGCCTTTAAAAGGGCACCAAGATATTCTGTGAAAGGTTTCTATAGCCTATCACTTGCTGGGTTATTAATTAGCACCTGTCATATTTCAGGACATGTAAAGCAAGCCAACACAGATGCAAACATGAGGTTGAGTTAGTTCATTTTTAAAATGCAAAACCCACGCTGGGTGCGATGTCAGGAGTTTGAGACCAGCCTGGCCAATATGGTGAAACCTCGTCTCTACTAAAAATCCAAAAGTTTGCCAGCTGTGGTGGTGGGCACCTGTAATCTCAGCTACTCAGGAGAATTGCTCGAAACCGGAAGGCAGAGGTTGCGGTAAGCCGAGATCGCGCCACTGCACTTCAAACTGGGCAACACAGTGAGACTCCGTCTCAAAATAATAATAATAAAAAAAGTAAAAAATAATAAAATACAATGAAATAAAATGCAAAATCCAAAGCAATTAGGTACTACCAAATTTCAGCATGGAAAAATAGGGTCGGTTCTGCATATTCTGGCTGCTGAACTGCTTTCAAGGAGGCCTAATTTCAAAAGCTAGTACAATTTGAAGGAAAAACTAACTCTGTGCCATCCCAGAGAGAAAACAGAAACGCTGGGGACTGCGTATTTCAAATTAAATTTTCTATCTTTATTATAGCACTGCCAGGGTGGGAATTTCAGATGCCAACGAATGTAAAACTGTTTCACACCACGAAGAACGAGAAAAAAAGCTTCCAATTAAACTATGGCTCACCAGAAACTGTGAGAGGCAGACCAGCAACCAAGACTTCAGTTTTTTAATTTTTAGAAACAGAGTTTTGCTCTGTCCCACAGGCAGGAATGCAGTGACATAACCTTGGCTCACTTCAGTCGCCGCCTCCCGGGTTCAAGCAATTCTCCTGCCTCAGCCTCCCAAGTAGCTGGGACTACAGACGCGTGCTGCCATCACGCCCAGCTAATTTTTGTATTTTTAGTAGAGGCAGGGTGCCACCATGTTGGCCAGGATGGTTTCGAATTCCTGACCTCAAGCCATCCACCCACCTCTCAGCCTCCCAGAGTGCTGAGATTATAGGCATGAGCCACCACGCCCAGCCAAGCACCCAAGACTTTACATCGAGAAAATACCTTGCCCGTTTGAAAGATGAAATATGGCACTATTACCCTTATCGTAAAAAGGGGAGAGAACACCATCAGAGATTGAGCAACTCCTGGCATCTACATCAAAAACGCAAAGCCCACCTCTACTGTCTGGTAAATTCTGCCCTCCGGGGTGTACAAAGCAAATGAAGTAGGATTTAAACCAGCTACATGACATAGTGTTATATACAGAGAGAGATGTTCTAACTATTAATTTCCTACATTCTATCTCCAAAAAAGCTATGCATTTGCTTCTGTTGTCATTTTTTTGTGATAATCTTAAATTTTTTGACATACATTTGAAAAATGGAAAGATGGGTTCCTTTTTAAACTACCAGAACCATGCACATAAAGTCAGCACAGATCTTCCACAGAAGACTACTTCGTCATTTCAGGTCACACAAACACGAAATTCTTACCCATTATACCTCACAGTAAGGAAACAAACTGAACAGGTTACTTTCTCTTCGAGAAATGTCCAATTTTGCCCCTCTGGAAGACAGAGAATTCAATATTGTGGTTCCAGACAGAGTCTGGCTCTATCACTCAGGTTGGAGCTCAGTGGCGGATCTTGGCTCACTGCAACCTCCGCCTCCTGGGTTCAAGTGATTTTCATGCCTCAGCCTCCTGAGTAGCTGGGTTTACAGGCATGCGCCACTATGCCTGGCTAATTTTTGTATTTTGTATTTTTGTTTCACCACATTGGCCAGGCTGGTCTCGAACTCCTGACTTGAAGTAACCCGCCCGCCTCAGTCTCCTAAAATGCTGGGATTACAGGTGTGAGCCATTGCGCCTGGCTATTGTGGTCCCTATAAGCATGCATCTTTAAACTATAAATGAGGAATCCATGTAATATTAAGACAAAGGCAATTGGTTGACATAAAAAATAAGATCCAGCATCAGTCAAGTTACCAGAATGTAATAAACCAAGTCTCATGGGAAACAGCTCTGATCAGATTTTTTACCTTAAACCTTATGAGGATGGCATCTAGTTCTTTAAAATAAGGAGTTCTTAAAATTACAATTTTGTAGTGGTTTTCTCCCGTAAGAAGCGTTCCTAAGAGGCTGTTTGCTGAATCAAAATAATTTAAATGCATTAACAACACTTTAAGACAAGCTACCCAATTAGCTGTGGCTTCAGCGACTGCATATATCTAACACTATAGCTTCTTTGTTTAGGGAGCTTTTCCTTTTTAAACTTACATTGTTTCTAATGGGATTATGAAATTAAAAAGCTGAAATCAAACAGCCAAGACATTAATACTTATGACATTCTTTTGGGCGTCTTCTAATTAGTTATAATCAACTATTTAAAGTACTTAAAATTTAGCATTACTACTTAAAGCCTCTTCACCATGTTTAAAATAACAATAAAGCAAAAAAAGAAGAAAAGAAAGAAAGAAAAATAAAAACTTAAAAAGAATCAGCCACCACACACCAAATAATTCCTCTACAAAGGTGTATCATACTCTGGAACTTTCCCAAGAATTTTAAACCAAATGCTAAAAAAAAGTAAAGGCTTCACAATGTTTCCTTTTCAAATAGATTTCCCTAAAGCTTAATAACATCACTCAAAAGCAGATGAACAGGCTCAAGGGACAAAGGGAACTTTTTCATTTAATGTCAAGTTATAATAATGTCATATCCATTTCCAACCATCTACAATGAAAGGCCTTTGGAGAAACCAAATCTGCGAGTAACCACCCCAGGAGGCTGTGTCCTTCAAGACAGAGCCCAGCCTAGGACTGTCATAAATCTTACCTTCTGCATGTTTGGCTTGATACAGCGAACAAAGAAAGGATTAGAGGAGCTTAGCGTTGCCATTAAGGAATGCAGTGAGTCCTATTAGAAAGAAAAAAGTATATGTTGATTTAGTCTCCTATTATGTCATTCTTTAAATTTCTCAGTACTCTATGCACTTAGAAACAAGAATTTAAAAAACACACCATAAATCATAGGAGTAATAACTTAGAGGCTTTCATTTTTTTTTTTTTTTTTTGAGACGGAGTTTCGCTCTTGTTACCCAGGCTGGAGTGCAATGGCGCGATCTCAGCTCACCGCAACCTCCGCCTCCTGGGTTCAGGCAATTCTCCTGGAGGCTTTCATTTTTTAATTGTCATTCTAATATAAAATAAAGATATTATGATTCAGTGTATTAATAACTGAAATGGTTTGCTAATACACCAAACTCATTTATCACTTCCTTTGAAACAGTACTATTTTAATAAGCCATTCTGTCAACAAACAAAAACCATCCTAGGATATTTCAATTTTTTTTTTTTTTTTGAGACAGAGTTTCGCTCTTGTTACCCAGGCTGGAGTGCAATGGCGCGATCTCGGCTCACCGCAACCTCTGCCTCCTGGGTTCAGGCAATTCTCCTGCCTCAGCCTCCTGAGTAGCTGGGATTACAGGCACGCGCCACCATGCCCAGCTGATTTTTTGTATTTTTAGTAGAGACGGGGTTTCACCATGTTGACCAGGATGGTCTCGATCTCTTGACCTCGTGATCCACCCACCTCAGCCTCCCAAAGTGCTGGGATTACAGGCTTGAGCCACCGCGCCCGGCCTTATTTCAATGTTTAAGACAGAAAAACTGAGAAGCAGCCACTCTTCCACTGTGATTACTCCTCCTAATAATTCATTATTTCCATCAAAATGACAGTCTAACCCAGTATTTCACCGGTCTCTGAGCCACAATCTCTCACTCTTAACCTTCAAATCACTAGACTCTAGCTCAATCTTTAATACCATTTTCTTTATTTTTCCAGTTTATTTTTGGGGGAGTTTTTAACATTTACCAAAGCAGACAGAAGCATACAATGAGTTCTCATCACCAGCTTCAGCTCATAGCTAATCTCATTTTACCTGATCCATACATACAATACCCACCCCTGTGGAAAAGCAAATCCCAGACATCATGTGATTTCATCCATCAGCATTGCAGGATTAAAGGCTAAACACCTGAAAGCATTGTGCAACCACAGTATCATCACACTTTAAAAGATCTGACATGAATTCCTTAAACTAATATTAACATGTGTAATGGTCTCATATTTCATATTAAAATGCTTAACTGTTTCAAATTTTATGATTTTTATTTTTATTTTTATTTGAGACAGGGTCTCACTCTGTCACCCAGGCTGGAGTGCAGTGGCATGATCACAGCTCACTGCAGCTTCAACCTCCCAACTCAAGTGATCGTCCTACCTCAGCCTCCTGCGTAGCTGGGACTACATGGACATGCCACCATGCAAGGCTAATGTTTTAATTTCTTGGTGGAGATGAGGCCTCACCATGTTGCCGGGGCTGATCTCGAACTCCCTGACGCAAGCAATCTTTCTACCTAGGCCTCCTAAAGTGCTGGTATTACAGGCATGTGTCACCATGCCCAGTCCAATTTTTTTGGTTTTTTTTTGAGACGGAGTCTTGCTCTGTCGCCCAGGCTGGAGTGCAGTGGCACAATTTGGGCTCACTGCAGCCTCCGCCTCCCAGGTTCAAGTGATTCTCCTGCCTTGGCCCCCGGAGTAGCTGGGACTACAGGCACGTGCCACCATGCCCGGCTAATTTTTTGTATTTTTAGTAGAGATAGGGTTTCATCTTGTTTGCCAGGCTGGTCTCGAACTCCTGATCATGATCTGCCTGCCTCAGCCTCCCAGTATGCTGGGATTACAGGCATGAGCCACCTCGCCCGGCCAGCCCATAATTTTGAAGCAGTTTGTTCTTTTACATCAGAATGCAAATACAAGTCATTCATTGAATGGTTGATATATCTTTTTTTGGTTGATATATCTTTTAATTCTCCTTTAATCCACTGGCTTTCCCTCCATCTCTGTCTCTTTTTCCTTCTTGTAATCTTGCTGAAGAAAACTGAACTGTCTAAACACTACAGGTATTGATCGACTTACCACCTATGCAACTTACGACCATTCGACTTTACGACCACAATCGCTAGCCACGACTGCTCCACGTCTGGCAGCGCAAACGTTGCCCAGCTGGGCATACGACAGTGCGGACCAGCTTCCCGCAGCACTACCATCTCCGCGTGCACCATTTCAACTGTACATATAGCCTACTCAACTTACGACCAAATTGTGTTACGACCGGTCCGCTGTCCCGACCATGGTCGTAAGTCGAGCACTAGCTGTACCTGGATTCATTACTTCTCCAGCTCAGAAAACTTTAAAATTTCTCGCAGGACAAAACATCCTGACACTCATGGCCCTTCATATTCTGATACCAACTTCAGTTCTCACCAGGTGTCCTGTCTGGCTGGTGTTCTACTGTCTGTTGACAGCCCTGGGAGACAGGGCTTGCATCGCTGTGCCTGGGCTCTTCTGCCTCCACCTGCACCTGAAAAGCACGCCCACCCTTTTCCATTTTCTTCACTGCTAGTCCAGTTTAAGTCTCAAACATTCCAAAAACTTTCCAAGGCCTCATGCAGTGGCTGGTGTCTGTAATTCCAGCATTTTGAGAGGCCAAAGCAGGAGGATTCACTGGAGGCCAGAATTTCAAGATCAGCCTGGGGAACACAGTAAGACCCCATCCCAGTAAAAAAAATCTAAAAATTAGCTGGGTGTAAAAAATGAGCCGGGTGTGGTGGTGCACACCTGTAGTCCCAGCTACTCAGGAGGCTGAGGCAGGAGAATTGCTTGAATCCACGAGGCGGACGTTGCAGTCAGCCAAGATTGTGCCACCGCACTCCACCCTGGGCAACAGAGCGTGACTCCATCTCAAAAAAATAAAAAATTAGCTGGGTGTTGTGGCTTACACCTGTAGTCCCAGCTACTCAGAGACTGAGGTGGGAGAATCATTTGAGCCTGGGAGTTTGAGGCTGCAGTGAGGTGTGATTATACCACTGCACTCCAGTCTGGGTGACAGAACAAGACCCTGCTTCATACATACACACATACATACATACACACACACACACACACACACACACACACACACACACAGACATGCATAAACACACACATGCATGCAAGCACATATATACAGGGAAAATAAAAAGCTTCCCCAGAGAACTCCTGGCAAAACCAACGTTCTAGAAAAAGAAAACTGAACATCACTGCTGTAAGATTAAGAGCCTAGGACAAGGTAGCTGACATCAGTCTTCTCTAACCATAGGCTTGGTCGATATCCCCTAGTTATGATACCACAAACACACCCGGGGGAAAAAAAGGAACATCTAGACATGAGAAGAAACGTATCCCATTTCCACATGAGCCTCTAAATACAAATCAGAGTGGTCCCAAATGGCCTTAAGGAGGTTGCTATTCCAAAACCTTAGAAGAAGTAGCTATTTCTTATTTTTTTTTAAAAAAAAAGATCTATATAGTTTCATCTGACTCAGAGAAAAAGTCTGTTTTATTTCTTTTCTCTTTTTTTTTTTTGAGACGGAGTTTCGCTCTTGTTACCCAGGCTGGAGTGCAATGGCGCGATCTCGGCTCACCGCAACCTCCGCCTCCTGGGTTCAGGCAATTCTCCTGCCTCAGCCTCCTGAGTAGCTGGGATTACAGGCACGCGCCACCATGCCCAGCT